CTTCCTCATATACAAAGCCACAAGGCTTACAAACAGAGAAATACAATATCAGTGTGGACGTAGCCCAAACATTGGGGTGAACCACGATACATCTTGTGTTATTTATTTTCTTGCATATTCACGGTCGGATTTACGTTGTTCCAAGACCCCTTCAGTTTTGTGCATCAACAAACCTAATACCAAATCAACCCAATCGATGCAAACTTTTTATTACTACACTTCTATTATCTTTAATAGTGAACCATACCAAACTTTGCCCACTCCTAAAAAGAATTTTCACTTTGTTCTTAATGGAAAATGCATATAGGTAAATACTCTCTTTCACTCTTTTGAAAAATGAGAAAAACTTGGCTACTTAAATTGAGGAGGAATTTTTACTCAAAGTACTTTGTGATCGATTAACAGAACTTCGTCCTTATAGTTGGAACATTTCATATTATAAATAATTCTATAAAAATTATATAAACAAATAAAATCTAAGTTCGTTTAGTTAGTCAACTATACTATAGTAAATAGATAGACGGTTTGTAATATTTGTACCGATACTAATCATTTGTTTTTATATTATTCGATGACAAACGATTTCATATATTTTTTACTTTTTGTTGAGATGACTTTTACATATAAATTTATAATGTGAACAACTTCGATCATATACATGAAATTCTGTTAGTTGAACTATTTTATTTTATTTTTTTTGGTCAAGGAGTTGAACTATTTTAATCATAAACATGAAGTTCCATCAAGTCTTTCATTTAAAAACTAAAAGAGTAAAAAATTAATGAAAAGCTTGTGCTGGTAAAGAAAATTTTCAATGTATTAGAAACACAATTACACAATTTAATAGACTAAATGTTATAATACAATTGATTGAATATTTCTTTTCAAATTTCTAATATAAATTGATGTAACAGAGATATAAATTGATGTAACAGAGCGGGTTCTCCTCACACCGTAAAATCTCGTGCTGCGGCTAAAAACCTAGTCCCCAAAGCCCGTGACACACAGCCCACCGCACCAAACGGCCAGACAGACCAAAAGACAAACCCCCTTTCCATCAATAATCAATGACTGCAAACAAAACTTTACATTAAAAAACCCTAAAATAATATTCCCCAAATTCTCAGTTTCATAAACCCTCAAAACCCTCAAAACCCTCTCTGTCTTCGTCTTATTTCCCCTCTGACAAAGAAAGAAAATAGACTCTGAAATGCTTGAGTAGTGATGCAGAAACTGCTGCGCATAAGCTCATCAGGCCCCATTCACTGCACATCGCCTAAGGCCGCCCCTTTTTCTTATCCTATCCCCTTTGCCTCAAACTTTCTATCCAAAGCTCTCACCGACTCACCTTCAAGAATGCACACTGCTGCAACCGCAGCTTTTACCTCCGCCGCCGGCGTCTCCGGCTCAGCCCTCGCCGCTACTATTCACAACAAACCCGCTTCCAGTACTCCCCTCTCTCGCTTCAACTGCGGCCTCTGCCAATGCCCTGTCTCTGTGGGCGGCAGATCCCCGTCCCGGGCTTGGCTTGTCCTTAAAGACTCGGGCTTGGGGTCCCGCCCGGCGTGGCTGCATACGAGCTCTGATGGGTCATTTTCTGTTTCCGCTGCCGAGGGTTGCGGGGGGTTAGAAGAGGGTTTTGAGGGTTTGGGCAGTGGCGCTGGTGAAAACCCAGAAAAGGGTTCGGGGGAGCAGAAGCCGAATAGGTTGAATCGGAGACAAAGGGGCTCCGTGGACGGTGGTTTGTTGGCCGGAAACCCGGACTTGTTGGCTATTCCTGGCGTGGGGCCAAGGAACTTGAGGAAGCTGGTGGAAAAGGGTATTGGGGGAGTTGCCGAGCTCAAGCAATTGTATAGAGATAAGGTATTGTGTATTGTACTGATTCTCAAGCTTTTCTGTTGTGAATGTTATGCTTTGTTGCACTGCAGGTTTGGAATTGATGATAATTTTGCTCTTGAATTTTAGCGGTTTAGACTGCGAACATTAAAATTCAGACTTCTGAAATGAATTTGACTAGATAATTCAACCCTTTCTGAGTATTTCGGGGGTTGTTAAGGTGGTTTAGAATGCTTATGTTTGTGTAACATGGATTTTGGAAGCCGAGAAGAAACCATTTTTTTTTCTCAAATAGAAGGAATAGTTACATTATGGTTGACATATGGACACCTTCGAATCTATAATGACAAGAGTTTTTGGGCTGCTGCTTGCAGTTCTTTGGAAAATCTAGTGAGAAGATGGTTGAGTTCTTACAAAGTTCTGTAGGAATCATCCACAAAAACCATGCTGAGAGTATTACTACTTATATTAAAGAGACTGTTGATGAAGAGTCAAAAGAGGACATCTCTAACTCGGAACCAAAGCTAATGCAGAAGAAAAGATTTACTATTTGCGTTGAAGGAAATATCAGCGTTGGAAAGTCAACATTTCTTCAGAGAATAGCAAATGAAACACTCGAGTTAAGAGATATTGTTGAGGTGGTTCCAGAACCTATTGATAAGTGGCAGGATGTTGGACCTGACCATTTTAATATATTGGATGCTTTCTATGCTCATCCAGAGAGATATGCCTACACCTTCCAGAATTATGTTTTTGTTACAAGGTTGATGCAGGAGAGAGAATCGTCTGGTGGTATCAAGCCCCTCCGGTTGATGGAAAGGAGTGTTTTTAGTGACAGGATGGTAAGTGTATTGTTCTTTTTCAGTAACTTTTAACTCAGTGTGACAACTGCATCTTTGTTTCTATGAATTTGTCCATGGAGTTGGGAAAAACTGTTAACTCACTGTAAATGCTCCTCCATTAAGAGTAGCAAAAAAACTGTTTTATTTGGAAATGGATATTGAATTTTTGTAACCTCGTCTAAATTCAGCTGTGACCAAAATTGATGGAATCGAAACTTTGCAGTTCTTTTAGTTTCCTTTTGGTTAATAATTCAAGGGAAACCAAAACCTGACTTAAAGTTTCAAGGCTCATGCATTTATTTCATTGTTACATTATAAAGGTTTTTGTTCGAGCGGTTCATGAAGCGAAATGGATGAATGAGATGGAGATCAGTATCTATGACTCATGGTTTGACCCAGTTGTATCATCCTTGCCCGGGCTTGTCCCTGATGCTTTCATATATCTTAGAGCAAGTCCTGACACTTGTCACCAGAGAATGAAGCTACGCAAGAGAGCAGAGGAAGATCAAGTCAGCCTAGAGTATCTCCGCGGTTTACATGAAAAGCATGAAAGCTGGCTCTTCCCATTTGAGAGTGGCAATCATGGTGTATTGTCCGTTAGTAAGCCTGCCTTGCACATAGACAGCAGATTACCTCCTGATATCAGGGACCGTGTGTTCTATTTGCAGGGTGATCATATGCATTCAAGCATTCAGAAGGTATCATATTCAATTAATCTGGTTGACCTTCTGTCATCTCATCTCCCTGATAATATGATTCCTTTTTATTCAATGGTCTGCAGGTTCCTGCTTTGGTTCTTGACTGTGAGCCAAACATTGATTTTAACAAAGACATTGACGCAAAGAGGCAGTAAGATAGCTATCCTTAAAATGCTTGCACAAGAATTTTACTTGTTTCGGAATTTTTTGTTTTGTTTTTTTTTTTTTTTTTGGGAAATAAGCTTTGTTATATTGTTGTTTGGAATGACTGCTTTATGTCTCAAAGTTGCATATTCTTTGTGTGTATTATTAATAGTTAAACACTTCGTGTCCCCAAGTAATCTGGTTGCTAAGTTTGTTTTACTCATCATGTAAAAACATCATTGAGTATTGATTTGGTTTAACTGTTATGTGATAAGCGTAGGCTTATATACAGATTGCACCATCTGTAGTCAAAATATGTCTAATTTATATTTCTCACGTATATCAAAGTATCCATATGCTCTTGAATTGATTTAATTGCTTGAAATCTTGAAACAGAAACAGTTCAAATGTGTTGTGTTTGGCCTTTGTTGGGCTAAGCACATTCTAATATTTGGCTGTCGGTAGGACTGTTCTCTGATAGAGATAGTGGGAAATGTCAGCATGAAGTAGACGTACTGAACCCCGTCACATTCTTGTGGAGGACATTACGGGATTGTGCTAATGCTTAAGAAAATTACCTCCTTACCAGTTTTATTGACATGGTCAGGTGGCTAAAACAATAATCACCTGTTACATATTAGGCTGGTCTGTGTTATGTATTAGCGCTGTGCTGATACATCTTTATAATGTTTGTTCTAACCGCCATAATAATTTCTTTTGCAATTCGAATTTTGAAGGTATGCTCGTCAAGTAGCGGAGTTTTTTGAGTTTGTGAAGAAAACACAAGAAGTTCCATCAGGAAATAGTTGTGCAGAAGCCAAGAAGAGTAGCCAACAACAAATACTGCTGCCACGAAATGGAGAATTATGGGTTCCTGATAAGCATTTTCCTGGGTCAGCTCTCAAATCTTTGGATTTTAGGCGAGCCATGTCTTTCTTGTCTGGCTAGCGGATTCGATTCATTTACTCTCTTGATTGTTCAGGCTTTGCTCAGATTCACGTCACGAGTCATCAGTTTCTGTATCATTTATGCCTGGGTTACGATGTGTTTTGATCTTTGTGCTTGTAAAAATAGGTTTTTCTAACCCTAGAGTTGTCGAGAAACTTGTGCTGTTGTTTAGTTAATGGGAACATGGTTGAAACTTTTATTATTTTGAACCGGAACACTATCAATGCCTACTTAAAAACGAGAAAATTGTCTGTACAGCCTTTTGGCAACCATGTGAGGTTTGAAAAGCCAGTGGCCGTAGCTTGGCATTCGACTCCTGCCGATGACTGAGCAACACAGGCTTGCTTCTGTGATTACCAATAGATCAATGATTTTCCAAGAAATTTACTGCATTCAGAAGTTGATTACCAAGAGATCAATGAAATACACGAGCCTATCAACCAATCTTCTATGTCGAGTGGGATCATGGTATTCCGATTGTGACCACATGGTATTCAGATGCTCTCGTACATTTCAAGAAGGGAATGAATGTGCTAACAAATTAGCCAATTTAGGATTTCTCTCGTCTTCATTTGTTTGGCATGCAGCTTTTCCTATATAGATTCTTCCTTTACTGCATTCAGATTTATTGGGTATGCTGGTCTACCTGTTTGCCTCCCCTTTTTTATGTGTGATTATTTTTTATTTAATCTTTTGAATTTTTTGTTTTTGTTATGCAACTTGTTTTGCAGGTTTTTACCTCTTAGGTTTTATATTAGAGGGCCTCTCTTTTTCTTGCATTTTCTTTTTCAAAATGGGTAAGGTGTATGTCCTTATTCTTTTCTTGTATTTTTGTTTTTTGTGCTTTATGAGAGGTAATGTTTATGTTCCTTGACTATATGTAACTCTTTTTCTTTCATATCAATAAATTTTTCTCATACCGTCGTAGTTCTAAAAAAAGAGGGAATGAAATATGTAACAATGTCCATATAGCGTATTTCTAGTGAGAAATAAAAATATACTTCTCGAGCGAGTAGCCACAATGCCAGGAAAAAAATTGAGCTTACACAAATCTTTGATGCGGATGCAGTTACGAAGAAAGGCTTTGATTTCTGCTATCTCCTTCAAAGGCTCAGAACTTCAGGTGTGGAAGCAAAACACTCTCGGGGGACTCAGATTATGCTTCTTCCACACTTGAAGCAATTTCCATTTCCTCAAAAGCTCGGAACTTGCTTCTGCTCATCATCTCACTCTGCTCTTCATCTTCTCCACACACTCTCACCCAATCCCTCCGCCGACTTAGCTGCTTCCCTACAGGGCCGTATTTCACACCCTCGTCTCCTTCAAATCCACGCTCATGTCTTTCAGCTCGGCGCTCACCAGGACAACCTGATCGCCACTCGCCTCATCGGCCATTACCCGTCTCACCTCGCTCTCCGAGTCTTTCGTCAGCTCCGAAAACCCAACATTTTCTCTTTCAATGCAATCATCAGGGTCTTGGCTGAAGAGGGTCTCTTCTCCCATGCATTTTCACTCTTCAAATGCTTAAAACAGATCTCTCTTTTGCCTAATGATTTCACCTTCTCGTTCCTTCTCAAGGCCTCTTTTCGCACCCAAAACCCTCGTTATGTCAAACAGATTCAAACCCATGCTACGAAAATGGGGTTTCTTTGCAATGCATTTGTTTGCAATAGCCTGCTTGCCGTGTATGCTCGCGGACTTAAAGATTTGGCTTCTGCACGTCTGGTGTTTGATGAAATGCCTGAGACGGGTGATGTTTACTGTTGGACATCGTTGATTGCGGGTTATGCTCAGTCAGGCCAGAGTGAGGAAGTGTTGCGGCTTTTCTTAATGATGGTTAATGAAAATTTGCGGCCGGAAGATGATACAATGGTTAGCGTCTTGTCAGCGTGTTCGAATCTTGAGATGGTTGCAGTTGAGAAATGGGTTGAGATCCTGTCCGACGTTATCGATAATGTTGACACTAAGAATTCTGGTTGCGACTCTGTCAACACTGTCCTTGTATATCTGTATGGGAAATGGGGAAAGGTTAAGAAAAGTAGGGAAAGATTTGATGAAATTGGTGATAATGGAAAGCAAAGCGTGCTTGCTTGGAATGCCATGATAGGTGCATATGTTCAGAATGGTTGTCCTCTGGAGTCTCTGAGTCTTTTCCGCTTAATGGTAGAAAATCCCAGTTATAGGCCTAACCATGTTACAATGGTTAACGTGCTTTCAGCTTGCGCGCAAATTGGCGATTTAGACCTTGGTTCATGGGTTCACCAATACCTGAACTCTAAAGGAAGCAAGGGTGTAATTCGGTCAAACAGAATTCTAGCCACAGCATTGATCGACATGTATTCAAAATGCGGGAGTTTGCAGAGGGCAAAAGAAGTTTTTGATCAGATGCTCACAAAAGATATTGTTTCATTCAATGCCATGATCATGGGTCTTGCGGTTAACAGTGAAGGAGAGGAGGCTTTGAGGCTATTCCCTAAAATCCAAGAGTTTGGTTTGCAACCCAATGCGGGTACATTCCTCGGTGCCTTATGTGCATGCAGCCACTCTGGTTTATCGGAGAAAGGACGTCAAATATTTAAAGATATGACCTCCAGATTTTCTGTTTATCCGAAATTAGAACATTATGCTTGCTACATTGATCTCCTGGCAAGAGTAGGCCTAGTTGAAGAAGCTTTGGATGTTGTAAATTCCATGCCCTTTGAGCCTAATAGTTTTGTGTGGGGTGCTCTGCTCGGCGGCTGCCTACTCCACTCTAGAGTAGATTTGGCTCAATATGTTTCCAATAGACTGGCTCAAGTGGATCCTGAGAATTCTGGAGGCTTTGTGATGCTAGCTAATACATTGGCATCTGATCATCGATGGGGAGATGTCTCTGGGTTGCGGCGGTTTATGAGGGAGAAGGGGGTGGCCAAGCAGCCCGGCTGTAGTTGGATCAGCATCAATGGTGTTGTGCAAGAATTTGTTGTCGGGTGCCCTTCGCATCCTCAAGTTGAGATCATATATAATACTCTAGATGGATTGGTGAAGCAAATGAAGATAGCAAGTTTTTAGGGAGTTCACAAGCACCCAAGGAAAATAAGGTTTCTGCATTCGAATAAACTCATGCAATGGACTTGTGACTCAAGTGATTAAGAGCATTTATGCTTACTACTGCGGTTATGTACTTGATCCTTCCTCCCTCAACATCATTTATTAAAAAAGGGAAAAATAATGATCAATGTGCCTCCTCTTCTGTATCATCTTGGTGTGTGTATTTTACCTTGGTACACCACTACATTGCAATCCAACAAGCAGTCTCACAGACTTGAAAGAGATCCTCCCCTTCTGAAGGAACTGCGCTTCCCAGGCCAACTTTGGTGTTCAGCAATTTTTTTTTTCATTTTTTTCCGCTAATGAGAATTTCGTGTTTTATGATGGAAAATGATTGTATAGTGAAAGGCTTAACTACATCTAAACCTGTTGAAACTCAATTTAAGTCTCACTCAATTCCTTGAAACTCAAATTTTGTAACTTAACCCCCTAAAACTCAAGTCTCAGTTTTCTAGTGTCAAAATTCATTAACAAATCCTTCCAAACTGCTTACAGAGTTACAGGGCATAAATGAAAACATATTTTATAGGAGTATTTTGGCTCACCGACCTAAACTTTGGTGTATGCTCACTATATACCTAATCATTTGTCACATGTCCTTTCGCTTAAATCTTAGTTAATTTTTTTTTTTCAAAATTGAAAAAGTAACATTTAATGTGAAAGTTAACTAGAGCTTGGTGAAATGACACATGGCAAATGATTAGGTGTCTGATGAGCATACACCATAGTTATGGTGGTCAGTAAAAATGCACCTTTTATGGGGAGCTTTAATGAAAATGGGTTGGGTTAAGTTTACTTTAACCAAAAAGGAAATTTTATTTGAACCCTTGTACTCTTTTTTTACACCCAACTTATTTTTTACGCCCATGTTATTTTTAATTAAAGGATTAATATTTTTTTTAAACTCAATTTTATTACCTAAACTACCATTCCAAACCCAATTCAAAATATAAATTTATCTTTGTACCCATTTAAAAAACGAAATCCCAAATTGAAATTTTTTATTGAAGTTTGTATCTGTGCACTAGGGGAGACAGATCTCCAATGTGTTCCTAAAAAGTTTGATCCGTTGAGGGTATGTTAGAATATTTGAACCGCTTTTGTTTTAAAGAATGCCGGCACAACTTTACAGCACCTAGGAGAAATTAACAGATGGTGTTTCTAAACATGCTCATATAATTTGTTCGTGTAAGAAGCATTGAAAGGAGAAGGAGAGAGAGAGATGTCCCATGTCCAATTTGTTTCCTCCTACTTTAGTGATACATCTGGGTAGAGATTATAGAAATAATGAAAATAAAATAGGCTAACCATGTATTTAGGGTTGGCCAATGGCCAGTATAGCTTATAGTACCTATGCTTTTTTCGTGGCTCTATGATTCTGTGAACTGACTAAAGTGTAACTTTTGGTGGTTAGGGTGGTATGATGTAATAGTCCTTCAAGTTGGTGAATGCAAGTAGACATTTAAAGAGGGGATGTGGCAACTCTCTCAACTCCACGGCCTAGATTAGGTCTGATAGTCTCTAGGAATTCTTCTCTATATATCCATGTCGACAAGGGGTCAATAAATTCAAGAGGCATATAATTATCATTCATCGATAAATCCATGTCTACAAGGGATTAAAACTTCAAAATCATCATCCATCGATAAAAATAAAAATAAAAACTTGTCTTTCTCTACAAGAGTTATTAGGGTTTTAGCCGGAGCAAAAGTAAGATAAAAAAGAGTGATGGTAGGGGTTTAATTATAGTGTGTGGGTTTATTGAGAAATTTTTAGTTTTATTATTAATTTCGTCTTATACTTGATGGTAATTGTACAAGAGGGTAAAAAAGACAATTAACATTTAAAATTTAAGTTGGGTGTAAAAAGAGGTTACATAGGTTCAAATAAAATTTCCCTAACAAAAAACCATCCTATTGTTGTAGGCCTATTTGATTGAAGGATCTTTAGGATTTAGAGAGAGAGGGGGCTGGTGGCAATTAGAGAGAGGAGAGAGTGATTTAATTGTGAGGTATGTTTGTATCATCCCATTGTGCCTTTATTTATAGTAGTAGGATGGGTAAAAACCTTTCCCTTCAAGATTACAACATTTAATAGGTAATCAACTCCTAACAGGAATATACGATACATTCCCATATCTACTAGGATTTACACAATCACATTCCTATTCTAATTATGACTACAACACTCCCCTTTGAGCGTGTAAATACTCAACAAACCATCGCATCAAATCTTTAGCAGATAAGGTAGAATAGTTAATGAAGTCATCGGCACAACGGGTGAACGCGAGTCTCAAATTTAAGATAGTATGCATTTGTAGTAAAACTCACAAAACCTCGCTATGGTAAAACCCAAGGTATGAGGACAAACCCATAGACTAAGGAGAAAAGTGAGAAGTATGCATAATGTCTAAAACAAACGTCAAACAGGACGAAAGTAGTGAGCTCAACGAAGTATGATCATCTCGGAATGGGTGCCTAGTTAAAATCTCGTTAGGTAGCAAAAATCTAGTGGGAAAAATGCTCCTAATTATAAGAAAAAGAGTACATTAAGATCAAATAAGTGTGCTTTTAGATACTCCCCCTGAGTTAGACATAACTTCTGAATAAGAGAACTACAAGTGATTCAACTTAGATAATTTACACATACCGATTCCTTGGACGAGCTTCTGAAAAGTAGACTTGGGCAACGACTTGGTGAAGAGGTCAGGTAGGTTGTCCTGGGAACATATTTACTTGACTTCAATGTTCTGATGCTATTGTTGTTGGTGTAAGTAAAAGAACTTCGGCGCTATGTGCTTGGTGTTGTCTCTCTAGATGTATCCTTTCTTTAACTGCTCAATACATGCTGCATTGTCTTCAAAACTAGGGTCACTAGTTGGTGCCATTTTCCTCTTTCGGGGTTGTGAATCCTTCGAACCAAGGGGTCTGCCACGCTTTAGGTTCGGAGCAGATGATTGGCTAGCCACCAATGTACATGCCGTGTGGAAGGTGCGACCTCCCCACTTTCAAAGATGGTCCGGCCTTCCCAGGCGAGTTGTGGACGTACGTGGGTACATCTATCCTTGCACGTGAATTTGTAGCGGGTATATGTGATCTTGTCACCTTTGCTAGATCATTAAAAGCATCTGGCATGCTTTGAGCAATGCTATGAAGATCTATAATTTGTCGCACCTCAGTTTCAGACTGGGTAGTGCGAGGATCTAAATGAGACATAGTGATAGTATACCATGACAATTCGCGATGTTCTATAGGAACGTTAGCATGCTGATCTCCCCTAACGATGGGAAAACTGTCTCATTAAAGTGACAATCTACAAAACGTATGATAAAGAGACCTCATGTCAAGGGTTCTAAGTAGCAAACAATTGATGGCGAATCATAATCGATATAAATTCTCATTGGACCCATTTAGGTACGTAGTGGCAGTGCTATTGGCACATAAATAGCGCATCCAAACACCCATAAATACGAGACGTCATGCTTGTATCTAGTGACCAACTATAACGGTGAATGTGGTTAGGTAGCTATGGGCTTCAGGCGGACCAACATAGCTGCGTGCAATATTGCATAGCCCCAGGCAGTTACCGACAGTTTGGTTCTCATAACCAAAGTTCGAGCTATCAATTGAAAGCACTTTATGAAAACTTCTGCCAGGCTGTTTTGGGTGTGAACATGGGGTATATAATGTTCCACATCAATCCCTACTGACATGCAATAATCTTCAAAAATCTGTGACGTGAGCTTTCCAACGTTATCCAGTCAAATCGACTTAATCATATAATCAGGGTGGTGAGCCCTTAGCTTAATGATTTAAGCTAGGAGTTTAGCAAATGCAGCGTTGCATGTAGACACCAGGCAAACATGTGACCATCATGTCGATGCATCAACCAACACCAAAAAGTATCTAAATGGTCATGTTGGTTGGATAGGTCCACAAAAGTCCCATTGAATCCTCTGAAGAAACATAGGGGGGGTCGTGAATGATCTTTGTATGTGAAGGTTGAGTATTCAACTTCCCTAAAGAACGTGCTTTGCATGGTGGGAGTCCAACATAGGGAGGTAACCGATGCCTATGAGATGATTTGACGATATGGCACATGATGTCACGTCCAGGATGTCCCAAACGGCCATGCCAAAGCAACAAAGTGTCCTGGAACTTAGGCATAGGGTCGGCCACACTGTGGGCTTCTATGCCGCGAATGGTTGTGATGTACAACCCACTCGGGAAACGTTCCAACTTCTCATGAATATGCTTTTGGCCATATTCATACGAAGTGATACAAAGAAATTCAAAACCATTATCTTCAGTGGTTTCAATATGATATTGATTAACTCAGCAACGTTGTTTCGGAACATGGAAAATAAAGTGCCTCTTTAATGGTTAAGATTGTACCATTGGACAACATGATACAGGCTTTTCCGTATCCTTTAATCAGGTTGGATGGGCTTGAGAGAGTTATCAAAGGAGCTTTCTTGGGTATTAAGTTAGTAAAATAGTGTCATTCACGCAAGATGGTGTGCGTGGTTGCACTATCTGCTAGACAACTAACTTCCCCACTAGACATACCTAGATATAAATTGATTGAATTGGTCACATGCATAAATATAAGTCCATTTCGATTAAGCAATTCGAGAAAATAATATCCATTCCAATAACAATCCATAATTCAAAACAAACCAAAACCATACAAATTATTCCAAATACTTAGAAAAATTGTTCAAAATTAAACCATAAACCTAGAAAAATAGGGGGAAAGGGCTGGCCACTCCAAGTGGGTTCGGTCACTAGGGGTAAACACCCTAAAAATATGTCTAATTTATTCATCCATAGGAACTGACGTCTCCTGAAAATCCGATATGTCCATTGATGTATTTGTATTTTCTGGATGATCCACATGTGCAAAGTTGACTCAAGACCGAAATGATACTTGGCAATAACCTCAGAGGAAGCTCGGAATATGCGTGACCAATGATCCCTTGATCCACAGTGGTAGCACATGTCTAGTTCAATAGAAGCAGGCTAAACGGGAGCTTTGCTCGTGTTCTTGAAGTTCGCGGCCTTAGGGGCAAGTGGTAGATGCTGGGTCACATTTCCTCCCTTAGGTGTGGCACTCTGTTGACTTTGGGCCCGTGGTTAGGCTTGCCGCCCATTGCCACGACCACAACGATTCTTTCGTCATTTATGGCTGCTAGAATTGGTCGCATTCACTTTAGGTGCAGCGTTCGAGCTAGTTGGTCGAGCTTGATGATTCTTCATCAAAAGCTGGTTCTGCTTTTCAGTGAGAAGTAAAACAAAGATTAAATCCGAAAACTTGGTGAATTTTTGTGCCCTATATTGTTGTTGCAGGACAATATTGGTGGCATGGAAGGTTGAATAGATCTTCTTCAGGAGATCTGAATTAGTT